TGTTGATCTTTTGCTTAGATGATCTGTCCATTTCAGTGAGGGGGGTATTAAAGTTCCCTACCATTATTGTATTATTGTCAATGTGTTTCTTTGATTTTGTTTTAATTGGCTGCTCCCATGTTAGGGGCATAGATATTTAAAATTGTTAGATCTTCTTGTTGGATAGACCCTTTAAGTAGGATATAGTGTCCTTCCTCATCTCTTATTGATTTCAAATCTAATTCATCTGATATAAGGATTGCCACCCCAGCTTTCTTTTGATGTACATTAGCATGGTAAATGGTTTTCCACCCCTCACTTTCAATCTGGGGGTGTCTTTGGGTCTCAAATGAGTCTCTTGCAGACAGGATATGGATGGGTCTTGTTTTTTAATCCAATCTGATAGCCTGTGTCTTTTGATTGGGGCATTTAGCCCATTTACATTCAGGGTAACTATTGAAAGATATGAATTTAGTGCCATTGTGTTGCCTGTAAGGTGACTGTTACTGTATATTGCTCTGTTCCTTTCTGGTCTATGTTACTTTTAGGCTCTCTCTTTGCTTACAGGACCCCTTTCAATATTTCTTGTAGGGCTGTTTTGGTGTTCGCAAATTCTTTTAGTTTTTGTTGTCCTGGAAGCTTTTTATCTCTCCTTCTATTTTCAATGACAGCCTAGCTGGATATAGTATTCTTGGCTGCATATTTTTCTCATTTGGTGCCCTGAATATATCATGCCAGTCCTTTCTGGCCTGCCAGGTCTCTGTGGATAGGTCTGCGGCCTATCTAATGTTTTTACCATTGTAGGTTACAGACCTCTTGTCCTGAACTGCTTTCAGGATTTTCTCTTTGTCTCTGAGACTCGTAAGTTTTACTATTAGATGTTGAGGTGTTGACCTATTTTTATTGATTTTGAGGTGGTTTCTCTGTGCCTCCTGGGTTTTGATGCCTGTTTCCTTCCCCAAATTAGGGAAGTTCTCTGCTATAATTTGCTCCAATATACCTTCTGCCCCTCTCTCTCTATCTTCTTCTTCTGGGATCCCAATTATTCTAATATTGTTTTGTCTTATGGTATCACTTATCTCTCAAATTCTCCCCTTGTGACCCAGTAGTTGTTTATCTCTCTTTTCCTCAGCTTCTTTATTCTCCATCATTTGGTCTTCTGTATCACTAATTTTCTCTTCTGCCTCACTTATCCTAGCAGTTAGAGCCTCCATTTTTGATTGCACCTCATTAATAGCTTTTTTGATTTCGACTGGGTTAGATTTTAGTTCTTTTATTTCTCCGGAAAGGGATTCTCTAGTATCTTCTATACCTTTTTCAAGCCCAGCTAGTGTCTTTAGAATTGTCATTCTGAACTCTAGTTTTGACATCTTACTAATGTCTGTATTGATTAGGTCCCTGGCAGTCAGTACTGCCTCTTGTTCTTTTTTTTTTTGAGGTGAATTTTTCCGTTTTGTCATTTTGTCCAGAGAATAGATGAATGAGAGAACAAAATGCTAAAAGGGTAACAACGACCCCAGAAAAATATACACCAGAGAAATCAGAAGAGACCCAAAACCAGGGGGGGGAAGAAAAAAAAAAAAAGAATACAATCAGGCTGGTAAATGGAACAGAGCCACACACTAGATTTTGGGTGTATTTCGGTCTGTTAGAAGAAACTGCCTCCCAAAATTTTAAAGAAAGAAAAACTTATATATATACAAAAATAAGGGTAAATCGATGAAGGGATGGAATACCACTGTAAAGATGAAAATTGAAAAAGATTTTAAAAAAGGAATTGACAAGTTGGTTGAAGAAAGAGAAGAAAAATTAAAAAAAGAGAATGTAATCAGGCAAGCCATACACTAGAGATTTAGGGTATATTTTGGTCTTTTAGAAGAAACTGTATCCCAAAATTTTAAAGAAAGAAGAACTCATATATAAACAAAAAATAAGGTTAAATCCAATGAAGGGATAGAATATGACTGTAAAAATGAAAATTAAAAAAGATTTTAAAAAAGGAATTGATAAGATGGTTGAAAAAGGAAAGAAAAATTAGAAAAAAAGAAGTAGAAAAAGAAAAAATAAAGAAAATTAAAAAAAATTAACTTTTAAGACTAAAGAGTCATGGTAAAAAGCCATGGATTCTATGTGCAGTATTCCCCTAGCGCTGGAGTTCTGCTGTTCTCATTGATGGGTAAACTTGGTCTTGGTGGGCGGTTCTCACTGATCTTCTGGGGGAGGGGCCTGTTGCCATGGTTCCCAAATGTCTTTGCCGGAGGCGGAATTGCCCCGCCCTTGCGGGGTTCGGCTCAGTATTCTGTTTGGGTTTGCTCTCAGGAGCTTTTGTTCCCTGCAAGCTCTCGGTACAGCTTTGGAGGATGATAGTGAAAATGGCGGCCTCCCAATCTCGGCCCGGAGGAGCTGAGAACTCGGGGCCCCGCTCCTCAGTGCGCCCCCAGAGAAAAGCAGTCACTCCCGTGTCCCCGGTCTCCGGCTGCACTCCGTGCTCACCCGGCCTGTGACCGAGCGTTTCTATCTCTGGCACCCGACCCCGTGTGGAGTCTCCAAACCCAGCAGATCCCTGTGGTGCGCTCCTGCACCGCTCCTCCTGGGGGAGGAAGGGGAGTCTCCCTGAATCTGCCGCTTGTTGGGTCCCTGCTGGAGGAGCAGTGGCCCCACTGTGCCGCGGATCACAGTTTATGGCAACCCCGAGCTGAGAGCCCGCGCCTCGGCTCCGTCTCTGCAGCCGGCTTCCCTGCTCTGATACCTGGGAGCTCTGCCGCACTCAGGCACCCCCGGTCTTTCTGTGACCCCGAGGGTCCTGAGACCACACTGTCCGGCGAGGGTTCCCCCCCAACTCCCCGCTTTGCCACTGGAGCGACGTCCCTCAGCGGAGCCGACTTCTAAAAGTTCCGATTTTGTTCTCCGTGGCTCTACCACTTGCCAGAAGCCGCCCACGGAGGCCCCCTCCCCCGCCGTCTATCCTCCCGAATATCGCCTCGGATTCACTTCTCCGCATGTCCTACCTTCCAGAAAGTGGTTGCTTTTCTGTTCAGAGAGTTGTTACTACTCTCTTCTTCGATCTCCTGTTGAGTTCGTAGGTGTTCAGAATGGTTTGATCCCTATCCAGCTGAATTCCTGGGACCAGACGAAATTTAGGTCTCCTACTCCTCCGCCATCTTGCTTCTCCCTCCTCAGCATTTAAGGTTTCAGAGAAAACTATCTCAATGAAAACAGTATAGTGCTGGCATGTGACTTGACAGATCAGTGGAATAGAATAGAAAGTTTGGGACAGGCCCTCACCATACAGGGATCTGGTCTATGATAGTGATGGCATTCCAAATTAGTGGGGGAGAGGGGTTATTCAGCTTATGTTGCTGAAAAAGAGAATAGGATCTTTTTTTCATACCTCATACCCAAATAAAATTCTAGATAACAGATTTACACATAAAAGTTAAAAGATATGATTACTAGACGGAAATATGGGGACATGTTTAAATAGTTTAAGAGTGTGGGGGCTTAGCTACTCCCAGGAACTGCAAGAAAAAGGACTGAGCATTTTTTTTTAAGATTTTATTTATTTGAGAGAGAGAGAGAGAGAGCATAAGCAGGGGGTGGGGGCGGGCGGGGGAGGGACAGAGGGAGAGGGAGAAGCAGGCTCCCCGCTGAGCAGGGAACCCAATGCGGGCCTTGATCCCAGGACCCTGAAATCATGACCTGAGCCGAATGCAGACGCTTAACTGACTGAGCCACCCAGGCGCCCCTGAACATTTTGATTACATGAAAGTAATCAAATTTTGCATGACCAAAATCCTCACTATAAATACACTCCAAAGCCTGACCACAATGTGGAAGAAAATTAGCTGCCACTCGTATCATAGGAAAGGGTTCATTTTTATACTAGTTAAGGAGATTCAGCAAATCAAGAGAAACAGCCTGCTGGAACAGTGGGCAAAGGGTATGAACAGAGAATCTTTAAACTGTCTTAATCCCATGAAAAGGTGCTCAACCTTATTCATTCTAAGAGACATGGAAATCAAAACTGTAATGAAAGACTGTTTCTCAGCTCTAATTAGTAGAGATGAGAAGGTTTGGCACTTCACCATCCTGGCAGGGCCGTTGGGAGCAAGCATTCTCCCGCACTGCTAAGGGGAGGTAGACTGATGAAGCCTATATCCAGGACTGTTTAGCAAGATCATTCAAGATAACACACACCCAGCCCTTTGACCCAGTAATTCCATCTTTGGTATTTATCTTATAGATGTACTCAGATTCACATGAGGTGATGTATTCATCATTCACTGCAGTGTGGTTTGTAATAGCAAAGACTGGAAACAACGTGTATGTCCATCATTTGGAAATTGATTGCATAATTGATGGTCCATCCATGAGATGGAATACTGGGCTTCTTTAGCAACGAGTGAAACAGCTCATTTGAACATATCTCGAAGGGCCTATCGTTCAAGTGAAAAATGCAAAGTATGGAATAATGTGTATATTTTGCTTCCATTTAAGTAAGAGAAGAGGATATATGTGTTTTTAAGCAAACAGATTTTCTTTGGAGGAATATATAAGATACTAGCAAGAGTGTGTGCTTCCAGAGAGGACAGCTTGGTGGCCGGAAAATCGGGAAGGTAGGGAGACTCACCTTTTGCTATGTACATCCTCTGAATGGTGTGCATGGTCATGCTTATCTACTAAGAAAATGAAATATTACATCAGTGACCTGTACTTACTTTGGCATGGGCCGAGTATCAACTCTGAAACAGCTAGTCAGTGTGCTGTGAACTCTAACTTGGGGATTAAGGAAAGAGACAGCTAAAATATGAGGGTTTTTCTGCTTTAAATAAATGTTCAAAGGATACTATTAAGCAGGTTACACTGGTGGCTCATGAAGACATCACCGTTAGCCGATGATATTCAAGAGAATTTTTAGAGTTTGTTTAGAGCTTGGTTAAGTGCTGATTATAGATTCCCCACAGCCTCACTCATCTTGGGCCAAAGAAGAAAAAAATCATTGACATCCTCTCCCTTTCCAGGTATGGCTTTTCCACCAAAAGCCTGAGTCTCTTAATCCTCTGACCAAATATCTGAGTGCCACCACTGGCTTTGGAAGCAATTACGTAACAACCCAGAAGGTAAGCGTGTTCACACTGTTGCATGGAGACCGTTTGCTGCTCGGCTGCTGAACTGGTCCCCGGCCCCCTGGCTTCCCTGACTGGTCCCCCTCTCTGGTCGCTGGCAACGCACTGGCCTGTTTTCATCCCTGTCTGCTCTCTCCTGCCTCTGAGCCTCGCCTGTCCTCTTCTGTCCACCTGAATGCCTCTTACCCTTCTTTCAACTGATTGATTTCTGCTTGGGCCTAAGATGTCAGCTTGTACTTCTGTGACCCATCAGACCAGGTCAGGTGCCTCCATCATAGGCTTTCTTGACATCTCATACCTCTTCTGTGTAGGATTCACTCAATTTCGGACTCCTCTGTCTGAATATAAGCTCTGTGAGGGGGAGGATTATACCGCCTTCCCTAGCATGTAGCCTTGCACATAGTAGGTGCTCAAGAAACATGTTGCAAGGTGGATGACACATAAAGTATCTTTCTGAGTGAAGTTCACTTCCCTTTGAGTATTCAGTTCTGCTTGTGACAATTATTTGCTTCAATCCATTGGTATTTTCAAGAGGCAGGGGATGAAGTATGGAAAAAAAGAACTCTTGGTGCTGTGGTTTTTAGACTCTGTATAGTCTTCTAAAAAGAAGCCAAACAGGGAGTTACATATAAGAAAATGAGAAAATTTATTTTGAACTTATAAAGCTATTTTTCTTGTATTTTTGTCATGAGTAAGGTTTATCTCAGCCTCCTGTTTTCCACTGCCTAGTTTATGTGGGAGGCACTGGCATAAAATGAAATTAGATTGAGACAAATAATTTCTCTCAGTGATGTCAAATAATTGGCAGTGATCTTGTCTGTGTCAGTAGCTTGAGGTCTAAGGGGAACCATTGTCTTGCTTCCCATGGTGTCTCTTTACTAAAAATGAACCTATGAACCTCCAGTGTTTTCCAAAATATGTTCTGTGGGATTCTAGTTCCTTGAGAAGATTTGCAAAAAGCTGTTTGTTGGCCAAGTAAATTTGAGAAATGCTTCGTATTTTACTCCCCACTTTCAGAGACTTCCACAAAGCACATTCGCCCAGGGAAGGCTTCGAGGAGTTGCCACAGTTCACGTGTGTGCGTGTGGGCGCGTGTGCACGTGCGCAATGTTTCATCCTACCGTTTATAATTTTTTCTTGACTACGTGACTTTTTTTCTTCACATTTTATGTAGTACTTAATATCACAGAGAACACACCTTGGGAACGCTATCGTAAATTAATAAGCTTCCTTTTAAAAAGGCCCTCAGAGTTTGTTTGAACATACTACCAATTAATCTCGAGGGAATGACTAGGGAGAAAATGCTTCATTCTATGAACCAAAATATTGTATTAGCATTTTATGGAAATGCATTGAAGAAAGTGTTTTAAAAATGTTGATTAATTTGGGGAAGTCCGCTTTCTCCTCTGTTCAAAGGTGGGGTTGAAGGAGCTCTCTAATGCCTCTTCCAGTTCCAATACAGAAAAACTCGGACGAGATTTATAATGAATGTAAGTGTTAGTTCCAAAATGTTAAAAAGTTTTTAATTTTCAGCCTCTCAGCTTTGTGAAGAAAGAGGATTTTAAAAAAGTTTAGGCTCTGTGTTGACCTGAAAAGAGATACCGCTTTATTTTTTTATAGAAGCTGAGAGTTTGCTTTTACATACAATGTGTCAGTTAAAATTAGATTCTCTACATGAAACAGAGGGTGTGAACTAACAGCAGATTCAACTGGATGGAAGCTCAGGTTTCTCGCATGTAAAAGCAGTTTTGGAGAGTGGTCGCCTTGGGCTGGTGTGGCAGCTCCCCAAATTGCCAGGCACCCAGGGTCCTTCAGTCACTCCTCTGCCATCCCTGGGGTGTGACCCTCATTCTTTGGCTCAGGAGAGCAAGATGGAAGAAGGGGGAAGGATGGGGGTGCCCATACCTTCGAAGGGGACTCATGGGCAGGACTACCCACTTCCACTCAGATCTCATTGGCCAGAGCAGAGTCACTTCCGTGGAGCCTGGCAATGTAGGCTTTTAGTCTGGAGGCCGGTGAACCTGGCTAAAGCTTGGGCTCTTTATGGAAGAAGGTGGACATTAGGTGGATGGCAGTTTCATTACAAAAAAATTTTTGATTTTTCTCTTTTGTCCTCATATCTCACTTGGCTGGTGTCTCCTATAACTGGAGACAGGAGTTAGGGGAGAGAGTGAAACCAGATCTTTCAGTCTTGCTGTGTAAGGGCAGTATCGGTGGCTTTGCTGAGGGTTGAAGTTTGGACTGAACACGTCCTCAGGATCTCAGAGTCAGGAACCCCAGCCCTGACCTACCAGCCCTGTTGTTTTTGTTTATTTGTTATTCTCTTATGTATGTTGAATACCTTCCTTTTACACAAATGCCATTCGTTTTATTTTTCCTTTCTGTTCATCCCTATCTTTGCTTCTTTTCCAGATGGACCTAGATGAAGACACTGCTGAAAAATTTTACCAAAACTTACTGGAACTGGAAAAGCGTATTAGGGACACCATTCAAAAAACAAATAATCAGAGCTGACGATGACACTCTCTGAAACATCGCATACCTACTGTGCATTCTGGGTTTCTGTTGAGTTGGGTGATGTGCCTGTGTGGTAAAGAGTGAGCTATAATTGTCTCTTTTCCCTCCTTTCAGGATTATCTCTAAGACTGTATGCGTGCACGTGAGAAAAAGATTGATAAGTAAAATATGAGTTAGCTGTTCTCCAGAAGGTGCTCGAGTCACCCAACCAAGGATGTGTTTATTGGTTCTGCCGACTGGAGCCCAAGCTCCACTTGGTGGGATGAGGTGTGGACTCAAGTAGTCATGACACAGGCACTCACCGGCCCTGCTTTTGGCCTGCCGGAGCAGGAGGAAGTACTGTGCACTCTCTGAGTGGTAATCTGAGCTTTGTTCCTTTTCTTATGGACAGTTTTCTTAGGTCTTGTACCTTATTTCTTCCTCTTTGTGGTGCTTCTAAAAATCCCGATTGTGGGGCGTCTGGGTGGCTCAGTCAGTTAGGCGTCTCTTGATTTCACCTCAGGTCATGATCTCAGGGGTGAGAGATTGAGCCCCGAGTTGGGCTCCGTGCTCAGCATGGGGTCGGCTTGGGATTTTCTCTCTCCCTCTGCCCCTCCCCCCGCTCGTGTGCACACACGTGCTCTCACTCTCAGATACAGAAAATCTTTAAAAATCCTGAGATTGTTAGAATCCTAACAGTCCTAATACAGATATCCATGTAGTTAATCACAGGAACAAAATTATATATGTGTTTGGGCACTTGAATTCTTTCTTCCTTTGGAAGTGTCTTTCATTGATGTCGAGGTGGTCTGCGTTAATGTTGGGCCTGACCTTTAACACCATTTGCAAATTTGTTCATTGCCAACCAACCTGTTTTTCATGATATATTTTAATGTATGCAAACGTGCAGCAAAAACTTATTTACTCCCATTGTTTCAAAAAAATTTTCCAATTGAATAATTGCAGGTGGGATATCTGCTGGTATTAGTAGTGGTTGGAAGTGTTTTGCATATAAAGACAAAAATGCTAAAATGCCTAGATGTTTTTACCCTACATACAACCACTATACCTGAAATATAATAAAGTGAGCAAGATTTGAATGACTTAATAAAAGTGAAAGATTGTATGGAAATATAGTTCCTATATATTCTAAGTATGAATTTTTTGGTTATAGTTTCCCTCATTTTGTTGGTAAAGGTATTTTTAATAAAGTTAAGCCTTCTGTATGTGAAAACAAGGGCAGAATGCTTCTGCACACTCCCTGCTGTCTTTGAGGAGGGGTGAGGTTGGAGAGCTGAGCGCAGCGCTGGGTTGTGCTCTTGTGATCACTCACACTGCAAGTGTGCGAGAAGCACTTTATTGTGAATCCCAGGTTCCTCATCTCTAAAGTGGAGTCATGCTCTTTCTGCTTTCTCTGCTCACGGGTGTGGAGGAACGTTAAATGCCATAACACATGTGAATGAATAAAGAGCATTTTTGAGAATGATAACAATACGGTTTTTCTTAGAGATGGATAAGCCAGAGTGTCATGGTTCAAATGATGCAACATAAGGCGCTGAGCGACATTGTCCCGTCTGACTGAGAGTTTGGTTTTCTGAGTGTTGAACCTTCACTCAGGAGGCAGCATCTAGACAAGCAAGAAGGCACCGGGGCAGGAGCATGGGCGCTGGGATGGGGAGGACACTGGATCAAATTTGGGTTTAGTCATTAACTAACTTGATAACTTAGGGCAGATTACTTCAATTTATACCTTGATTTAATTACAAAAATATTGCTACCAGTGCTTACCTTGAAGAATTGGAAGACTATGTCCTAGTAGATGCATAGTCAGTACAAACTATTATTTATTTCTGTTCTACTGTAAGTGCCCAAAAGGAGACTTTAAGTGGGAACTAAATCCTGGTATCATGCCATTTATGATGTGTCAGTAGGTTGGTACTCTGTATATTTTCTGAGCCATTTTATCAAACTTCCTTGAAATGGAGAACAAATCACAGCCCCCCTTTGCCCCTCCCAAGTGCATACCCTAAGTGGCATACGTCAACAGTTGGTTCTTGTCTTTAAATTATCCCAGATTTCAGTTTTTATACCTGAACTTGGCTACTAGGTTGAAGATTCAACTAGTAGGAGTTGGGCTCCAGGAGATGCCTGATTTTTCTCTTATAAATGGCTAATCAGATTTCTTTGGACTGCTGCACTTACTCTGATTTCCATGATGGATTTAGTACAAGTCATTCATTCATTCTGCAGCTATGTATCGGGCACTGGCTCTATGCCCAGCACTCTTGGGTTTTGAGGATAGAGAGTGGACATGTGAAGATAGAATGGGACATTTCAAAAATGCATTTAATAGCTGTTTCAGAAAGAAGAAATTGAGAAATGTGAAAGAGGCAATATTTGAAGAGAGAAAAGCCGAGCATTTGTCAGAGTTGATGGCAGCTATGATCATCACACTGAGGAAAAATGACAAGTCTCAAACACAAACAGACTCAGATACGGTGAAACTGCAGAGAGCTGGAGAAACTGACTTGCCAACCGGAGAAAAGAGATCACTAATGAGAGTTCTTGAGACTAACAGCAGATTTCTTCCCGTGTTACTTTTGAGAAGACAAGAAAAAAGTAACTGCTGAGTGATGTCAAACCCATCTGAGCTGTAACTTCAGAGTGAAGCTGAAATAAAATTTTGAGACAAAAGTTGCAAGTTTATCTCTAACCCTTACAGCGGTTACCTCTAACATTCCTCTTTTGAAAAAGATACCTGGAAGAGGTATTTGAAAAAGAAAATTGAATCCTACAAGGGAGAAGTGAGGTGCAAAAGGAATAATGAGTAAAGATATTTGCAAACATGTAGATAAGCCTTCAACTTTGACTTTGTAAAACAATAATAAAAATGCCTAGTTTCAGAAGGAAAAAGGCAAGGTGTCAATATGCAAGCTGGGGGAGTTGACTAAAGATATTCAAGACATCAGGGGCACTTTTATGGTTCAGTTGGTTAAGTGGCTGACTCTTGGTTTCAGCTCAGGTCATGATCTTGGGGTCTTGGGATCGAGCCCTGCGTGCTCAGTGAGGAGTCTGCTTCAGATTCTCTCTCCTTTCTCTCCCTCTGCCCCTCCCCCTACTCATGCACATTCTTTCTCAGTCTCTCAAATAATAAATAAATCTTTAAAAAAAGATATTCAAGATACTGCTCAGAAGAAAGAGATTTTGGTTAACTTTATCTTTTTTTTTAAGATTTTATTTATTTGAGAGAGAGAGTGAGCACAAAGAGGGAGAGGGAGAAGCAGACTCCCTGCTGAGCAGGGAGCCCGACACGGGGCTCAGTCCCAGGACCCTAAGATCATGACCTGAGCCAAAGACAGATATTTAACCAACTGAGCCACCCAGGCTCCCCTTTGGTTAACTTTAGACAAAATATCTAAGGTACCTATTAGACTTTTAATGGCAATCTTATGATGCACAAATAGGATATACAATTTCCAAATCAAAAGTGGTTTAAAAAAAGGAACACCCATGGGACGCCTGGGTGTCTCAGTCATTAAGCGTCTGCCTTCAGCTCAGGTCATGATCCCAGGGTCCTGGGATCGAGTCGCACATCGGGCTCCCTGCTTGGCGGGAAGCCTGCTTTTCCCTCTCCCACTCCCCCTGCTTGTGTTTTCTCTCTCTGTCAAAGAGATAAATGTAATCTTAAAAAAAAAAAAAAACACCCAAGCCATCCAAAAAAGAATGGAAAAGGGGAGAAGGGTAGGATACACAGAAAAAAATAAGAATAATCAAATTAGATCTTTAAAATATATTTAAACAGGTCAAAATGAATATAAATGGGATAAACAAGATAGTTGAAGACTAATTATCAGAGTGGGTTAAAAAAAATTTTTTTTACAACTCCTAAAATTTGAGAGTATATAAAGGTTGAAAGTAGGAAGTTGAGAAAATGTACGCCCAGCAAATCTAATGGAAGCCAATGAGGCTGCATAGGGATGCAAATACCAGATAAAATAGACTGCAAAGCAAAAGCATTTTAAAGGATTAAGTGAGTTCATGCCAAATGACAAGATAAAACACCATGAAGTTAGTATAATTATAAACCTGTGTGTATCTTTAATGCTTAAAATATAAAAGGCAGAAGTTTACAGAATTACAAGGAGAAATGGGCAATTTCACAATTTTAATGATTTTAATAGACCTCACTTAATGGTTTTTTAATCACACAAAAATTCAGTAAGCATATGGAGGATAAGAACACAATAAGCTCTTTCTGATGAATATGTACAAGGAACTCACCATTGCAGAGAACCTTATTCTTTTCAAATCTACATGGGACAATTTAAGAACTAATCAAACGTTAAGACCTCAAAGTAAGTCTCAGCAAATATTAAAGAATGTATATTATTTGGACCATGTTCTCTGACCACAGTGCATTTACAAGAAGGTAACAACAAGAAAGAACAATAAAGAAAACCACTACTATGTGCCTGGCACATAGTAGGCTCTTGATAAATACTTGTTGCATACATAAATGTATGAACAATGGATTAAATGAAAGTTTATTTGAATAAAAATACCTTGCTCTTTGATAGTTCTCTGTTTCATAGCCTTAATTAACTGTTTTATTGTAGCCACATTAAAAAGGAAACCAACTAGATGACAATTCACACTCTTGATTTGGAATGGTGTTAGGAGTACCGAGCCAGAGTTTACTGAGGCTCTGCTATTACTGTCCTCTTAGAAATCACCTTGTGCTAATGCATATAATTACTTCTCAAGGGAAAGACTTAAAAAGTACTAAGAACAACCTGAGTGTAGAATGAGTCTCATTCCTAGTAATGAAACTCCAAAAAAAAAAAAAAAAAATCCATGTTTTTTATTTGGCACCTGAAAATCTGAGTTATTTCCATTATCTGATAAGTTGCATGTTTTTTATAGTTATGGAATAGAGACAAGGGTTGGTTGATGATGGGAAGTAACACACTGGGTTAGAGAGAGCCTGTCTCAGCATCCCTTGAGGTTATTCCTTGCTATCTAATTTGACTCCTGCTTCAAGGACAGGAATTCTGGAAGGTTTTATGGAGGATTTGTAGTGGGAAAGAAAAGTCCTAGAAACTCTTGATGTTCAAGAAACACATTTTTATTGTTGTTGTTAGTGGTTCACAAATGGGTTTAAATGTGGGTAGGTGTCCTAGATACAGCTTTAGAAAGAGGCCAGGCATAGATTTCTTTCTTCCTTTGGCTAGGAAGTACCTCTATCCCATTCTTTTCTATTTA